GATGCTGTTGATATCGGAAGCTTCTTTCCGGTCTTAGTTGAGGAGCTAGACATTTCTGCTAAACAGAGGAACCTACTCCAAAGTAGCATATAACTGAGTTGAACCCAAAGGTGCTAGTTGTTACTCTACCCTATCCCAATAATTAATCAATATTCTAGTCTGTTAGCGAGTTACTTTGCTATTTAGCCAATTATCTACATTACTTCCTAACCCCCCTTCAGTACTCTCAAATGATTAATAGTTACTTTATATTAATTCTCACCAATACATTAAACTCCTAATTTTCCAAAACAAATATACCCCAACAAATTACTTATAATTTCAATCAGTCCATTAATAAGATGATCTAAGAATTAGTAGAGATAGCAAAGCTATTCATGGCAAGGGATTTCGAAAAAGGAAGCGCTATTCGACTATAGTATTACAGTTCTCCCGTCGTGCAGGTATCAAGTATAATTCTCCATAGCAATCACGTTAAAATGTCTTAGTCACCACCGAGTCCACCTCCAAGTCAGGGGAAAGGTTGATAAAAGTAGCTCTTCCAACACTTACCACTTACCAATTGTCAAATCGCTTTTAAAAGGCGCAGCAGTAATAAAGTAGGGGGTAGAGTCTACAAAAGCTCCAATTACAACCAAAATTAAGAGGAAACAGTGCACATCTGACCCGACAGGCCATTTGGCACCTGATCTCTCCGTTCTTCCAATATCACCTCCAAGTTAGTCACAAAACCAATCTGCCGCTTCCAGCCAAAAATCAGCCTTGCGCCCCCCGAATCTTCAGCATTAATCCTGAGGGGACAATCTGTTCCTTTCTTACAATCCAGTCTATTTATTTCACCACCAGTGCCACTTCCGCTCCATTCCCCCAAAAGCGCTGTGTCATGCAATGGGTCCTCTGCCCTCTCTGCAGGACCCTTTTCTCTCTCACTGGAGATCAGGATTGTATTTCACTTCGTCGGGAGTTTGCACTATTCCTGGCAAGCCTGGACCTTCATCCTTCTTTGCCAATCGCTCTACTATCAGCAACGGCTCCTTTAACCGCTCGGCAAATAGAAACAAAAGTTTCGCGGCTCAGGAAAACTTTCCCTACCATTCCACTCGCCTATGATATCATGTCGGAAGTCCTTGTGATCCCTGTTGTAAATTCACAAGTGACAATCTTGAACAAGATCCAAGAGAGTTGATATCAAGCCAAAAACATATTTCTTGGTAGAGGAAAACTAGATGTCAAAATGACTGTGAAAATTGACAAACTGTTTGATATCCTCAACTACAAGTGCCAAATAGTTCTGTGTGCCAAATTTGGCTGCCCTGCTGGCTGCAAAAAAGATGTGCCCAAGCAGAAATGACTAGGCAAAAGCACCAAGACAATGAGAGACAAAGGCTCATTAAATATAAGCAGAGAAGTATTTCAAACATTTCGATACTGACAAATAATTATCTCTGATGATGAAAATGAAGAACAGATGACTGATGATAAAGAGGAATGTGATGGAAGTTATGAAGAGAACTCAGCTCCACCCCACATGCACACACGCCTCCAGCCAGCCAGCTGATTTTTGGATCTCTGCCACGCATGCATAGGGGTGGGGCGCATGCAAGAGACGCATGCCTGGAGGATCACGTGCACATGCACAAGGGGCAGGGGGTCGTGTACACATGTTCAGGGGCAGGGGGAGTATGGGGAGGTACAGCATGTCCCTCCCCATGGCCTGTTTTGGGCCAGCATGCCTCCCTGCAGCCTCCTGGGACCAAAAATGGGCTGCACGGAGGCAATGTGTGTGTGACCGCCCCCCGCCCCACCATGCATGTATGCTGACCCCCACACTCCCCCACCTCTGCACCCATAATGCAATGTATGTGCACCGCACCACACCGCCACCCCATGCATGCGTGTGCGACCTCCCCATGCACCCCTGTACATGCATGCACACCTCCTGTGGCCCATTTTTGGACCCAGGAGGCTGCAGGGAGGCCTACTAGGCCCAAAACAGGGCAGGGGAATGCAGGGGAACAACGCATGCATGCGCAGGAAAGCAGGGGGAACTCAGGGGGTCGGTGTGCATGCATGGGGCAGCAAGGCATGGGGCATTCACGCGCACATTACATTATGAGTGCAGGTATGCACACTTACTGTCGCTTTTGGCACACGATGACAAAAAGGTTAGCCATCACTGGCTTAGACTACTTCAAAAGAAAAGACAGAATACAATAGATTAGAAATAACAAATGTCACTATGCAGGGCATAAATATGGTGTTGCTCTACATGACACTGCTGCCATTACCACAGTTGCCTTCATAGATTCATCGGTGATCATAGATCATTGATCACCAAAGAAGACAAGAGACTTGTAGTTAACCACAATAAAGTAAAGAGACCCCAGGAAAAAATTATGAAGTCCCTAGATCAAGAATTTTGATGAGCTCTATAAGAAGGGAGAAATAGAATTCATCTTCTTCAAAGGCCATATACATGCAACTAGTTATGCTGAAAGCAAAGAATTCAGACCAGCAATTTGCTAGTATCATCAAAGAATATTATTCTGTGTGCAGTGAGCTGGGTGGAAGATATAATTATTATTTCACAGAAAGGCTCAAAAACAGGAAAACCTGCTCAAGTGGTTGCAGATAATCTGGTGTATTTCATGAAGAAGAAAGGCATTGACAAAAGCTTGAAGGCTATTGGAATAGATTTCACAAATGTTAATACTGGCTGTGAAGGTGGTGCCATGCACTGGGTAGAGGTCAAGCTTGACTGGAAGTTGATCTCGTTGCTGTGTGCACTCCATATGAATGAGTTACCCCTATAACACTTAATCACAAAATTGGATGGGAATACCTTGTCTAACAACAAATGGGCAGGTAAAATTGGCAACATGCTAGACACTGCAACAGAACTTGACATTGATCCTTCATTCACCAGAGTTTCAATTGATCAGTGTCTCATTTCACTGAGCAACAGTGTTGTAAAGGATCAAGCATATGGATATAGGATCACACAGGCAATAAGGACAGGAGAACTTCCACAGATTTGGCTCTACTAGAAATTGGCCCCATAAGCTATTTATGCTGGTTGACAACTGCAAATAGGCTTTGTCAAATATGGGTTTCAAAACCTGGCTTTAAAAGCAAAACTCTCCAAAACTTAGGAATGATAGTGGAATACATCATTGGTATGTACTACCCTTGCTGGTTCAACATCAATGTAAAACATTCCTGGATTGAAGGCCTGCATCATGTGTTGTTCCAGCTGCAAATCAGACAGCAAAAGAAGGCTATAATAGATGCTACTTTGCCAACCATTCAGCACTCAGCATAGTATGTTTTTAGTGAAATGATAATTCAGACACTTTTGTGTTCAGATGACATTCAAGAAAGAAGAACTGGTGTGCAAAAGATCATTGACTTAAGGGGTGTAGATGATAACATGCTGGGAGATTTTTCTGTACATGCAAGAAAAATGCCTAAGGAAGAGAAGTCTTGATAGCAGTCTTCCAATATCTAAGGGGCTGCCACAAACAAGAGGGAATCGATTCTCCAAAGTATCTTAAAACAGTGCAAGAAGCAATGAATGAAAATTGATCAAGGAGAGATCTAGTCTAAAAATAAGGAGACAGTTAGAACAATTAATCAGTGGAACAGTTTGCCTTCAGAAGTTGTGTGTGCTCCTTCACTGGAGGTTTTGAGAAGAAATTGGACAGCCATTTGTTTGAAATGGTAATGGGTCTTCTACTTCAGCAGGAAATTTGCCTACAATATTTCCAGGGTCCTTTTCAACTCTGTTATTCTATTATGGATAGGTAATTTTTCTGTGCAAGTTGCTAGTTGGGCCACACCACATACATAAGCCAACTATTCCTTTCTTCTGCCCAACAATTCTGAGGAAGTAACTGTCTTTCCCCATTGACCTGCCTACATATCCCTCTCATATTTTTCAAATATGAAAAAAGTGAATTTTAAATTTTGTTACCTAGAAAGTACATTAAATTAGCTAAACCTTTATGATTTTGAACAGGATCCTGTAATGGGGGGAAAAAGGTTGTTCCCCCTGCCACAATCTGCTTGTTCAGTAAACAAAAGAAGAAAGAAAGCAGTAAATTTTCTTCCTTTTTTCTCAGTAATCCATTGCAGCTTGCTGATTTCCTACTGCAATTTCCTTTATTACAATTACCTTTGGAAAGTCAGTAGTCCATACCTGTCCAGGCTACTAGCTGATAGCTGCACAGACAGGATAGCTGCAAAGTGTTTGGATGGATGGACGATGGAGAGAATACAAAAATTTTCAGAAAGATTTCTTTTATATCCCCAGTTAGCAATTTCCTAAGTATTTTTTTTAATTATGAAGTCCTTATCAGTTTCAAAGAACCCATTCTGACTGTCAACAAAATTCTTAAGCAGATGTTCCATCTTAGTTCATCATGAGTGCTCATGTGCTAGGAGAATGCAATAGTTTCCCGGTCCTCATTAGAAAACATTTAAAAGAGTCAGTCCCAATTCTCTGAAGTATATATCCACTAAGAAATGGTTGATTTATTTTATACCAATTAATTTGCCATTCTCATGGGTAGTCAGATGTAATCCATTGATTGATTCTAACATGTTGCTAGATTTGATAATTATGTGCATCACATGTTAAACTTTGTGTATAATAAATACCTTGACATACCATCTTCCTCCATGTCACCAAGCTTTATATATAATAGCAGTTGAAGCTACAAGAAAATAAGGCAAAACCAAGAATAACAGAATGCAAATATATACAACTGCATATATTTAAGGACACATACAGTAACATTTCTATGTATACTAAGTAAGATTATTTAAGATGAGATTGTCCATTTCAAAATGAAGCATTAAAATAGTAAACCAAGACTTCATAAAAGAGATAGGCTGTGATACAACTAAGGCAATGGTCTTAGATACTTAAAATTAGTTATTATAGAAAGATGTTCAGTTAAGCTAATTTTACTCCTCTCCCCATCTTTCCTTCATTAAAGGAAAACCATTGCAGAAGGATAAAGATCCTTGGTGACTGTTACTATTGTGTATCAGGATTGACCCAGCCCAAAACTGATCATGCTCATTGCTGTGTTGAAATGGGATTGGATATGATTGACACTATCACGTAAGTACTTTACATGCTTAATGTAATGTATTTTAGGCAACAAAAATTCCAATCATTTAATTGTTTTAAGAGAAGTTTGTGAATAGAACAAAAAAGATAAAAGAAGAAGCAAGATCCTCTCATTACTTTAGGCTGCAGCATTATTCAATGTTGAATACAGAATTGGTATGGAAAATGTTCATCCACTGGAAAACTGATATATGTAACTGAATGCCTACATTCAGCTTTGTGAGTCTCAAGTTGTGAAAACGTCCTGCTCTAAAGACCCGAATTCTTCCAAGAAATTTGCTTTGGTAGAACAGTGTGTTTTAACAGGGATTTAAAAGACTAAAGATCCACTGAACTTATCTTCTGGGGAAAAAAACAGTGCTCGCTTTCATCAGCAAGAAATAGCAGAGCTTTAAAACTTCATCCTCCTTTGCTTAGCTGAGAACTGCTGTGCATTTGTGATTTCTGAGCTCTAAGGATTAACTCTTCATAGAAAACTGTTCAGAGGAACAGTATAAGGATTTTTTAAAATTTGTCATAAAATTAATACTCACTCTAACACAGAAACAAAGGGAGATAAATGTCTTTTCAGAATAATGTCTTTTTATTTTATCTTTGAAAACAATTATTTATAACAATATTTTTATGTGGGCTTAGTTACATTAAAAAATTACAAAACACTAATGTGTTACATTTAAATATCGCATAGTAGTCATTGCAATTTTTCTTTGATATGAACATTCCATTTTTTGTCAGCTGTCATAGCAATCTAAAATAAATATGCATAACTTTCTGATAAAAGAAAATATAAGTAAATTAGGACCATATGCAAAATAAGCAAATGCTTATCAATGGAAGCACTGCATGGAAATTGTATCTGAAAATAAATCAATTTTAGCAAAATTGAACAAAAACAAGCAAAACTTTTACTTTTACTTTTACTTTTATTTGATTTATATACCGCCCTACTCCCGAAGGACTCAGGGCGGTGAACAGCCAACAATAAAATACATACATACAAAATTTAAAAAGCAGAGATAAAATCAAATTAAATAGTTTGGCCCAGACAGATTTAAAACCCAATCAATTTAAAACAAATTTAAACTTTGAATATTAAAAATACTAAAAAATATTAAAAATGTTTAAAAAGAAGGAGAAAGTTAGGCAGGCCCGCCTGGTGAAATAAAAAGGTCTTTAGAGCGCGGCGGAAGGTGCGCAGATCCGGGATCCTCCATATCTCCGGGGGGAGCTTGTTCCAGATAGTAGATGCCCTCACAGAGAAGGGTCTCCCCCTGGGGGCTGCCAATCGACATTGTTTGTCCAACGGCACCCGGAGGAGCCCCTCTCTATGAGAGCGTATAAATATATTTAATGTTACCTGATTGCATTTTGCCCCAGTGAATTAATACTAAAGTAAGGAAAACATTAAGAAAAATTCCCCTGTAATAGGTGCATTCAAACTGGAATTAAAAGAGGAATTTGCTAAATTTTTGTAAGCAAGATATTTCTCAAAAGCAGATGGAATTTTACTTCAAAAAGAAAAGAATAAGATAATCTATTGGAAAATAAGGGGCATAGGGGGAGGAAAATGCAACATTATCTTGGGTGCAACATGATTGTATTGAATTGCAATTCTCATATCTTTCTCTCCGTTGCTCAGGAGCATTGATTCACAGTACACGTAATCATAGCTGAGTATTGTGCTTTCATAGCTGAGTATTGCACTTGAAAATGAAAAGTTTTGAATGAAAATCCTACTAACTTGCAATTAGGCAAATGATACTATTAAAAAAAGCAGGGTTGAAGAATGTGAAAGTTCACAAGAAATTCCATGGTTTTCTTTTAACATATCATTCTCAGTAAATAAAATGTTTTTGTTAAATAGCTAAGAAATATTTGGAAATGCAATACATTACTTTCTCTTTTTTTTAACCAGACTGTAGACCTTTATTTGTCATTTTTCTTATGCATTATTTGTCTTAAAGAATTTCCTGTACAGGGTGCTAATAATTGAGTTCTTTGTTAATGAAAAACAAACCTCACTAACCTCAAGGACACTTTTAGACGAAAGCATTATATCTATTAGTATTAGTATTTCTACAAAATTATGACTCTTGTAGCCTGATTTCAGGACTATCTAAAGGCATGAAGAAAAGTGCACAACCAGCAATCTGCAAAATTAAAGCTCATCAAGAGTGTACAACTAAAATTATAGTACCTGCCAGCAGTAAATCCCATGTTGCCTCTGCGTAAAAGACATATTCTTTTTTTTATGATTTTTTTTCTTTAACATATATGAGTACTTAGTAAACAGTACATTGTCTGAGTCAATTTACCTTATATAGAGTATTAATAACAATAATACTGTTTAGGTATACATAATAATAATCTTTCAACTTCTAAAATTTACAAGATATATATATATATATATATATATATATATATATATATATATATATATATATATATATATATATATATATATATATATATATATTTGTAACAGTGTACATATTAATATTTTCTCCATTTCTCCATTTCTACTATCTCTTTTTTTCTAACCCCTAATACAACAATTCCCCTATTAAAAAGTATTATGTATCTATCCATCATCTCTTACCCTTTACTATTTAAGCATACATGGTAGTAGTCTTTCAACTTCTAACATTTACATCACAGTTATAGTAGCTTATATCATTTGACAGTATGCATAATAACATTTTTCCAATTTCTAAGTTCTATGTTTATTTTCTAATCTTCAGTAAAACAAATCTCATATTAAGAGGTATTCTGCATCTATCCATCATCTCTCACCCTTTTAAATATTTCAACTCTTATTGACTTTTTGATCAATCTCCCATGCTCCTCCCTTAGGATCTTGTATCCCTCTACATCACTCATATTTAGTCTAAATATTTTCTCTGCCTCCAAATCTGCCTCTTGTTATCTACTCTCTAAAATACCCATCAGTGACTCTTTCATCTCTTCTAGGGGATCTTTCTCTTTACTCTCTTCTACATTTTGGCCTCTTGAAAAAATACTACCTGCTCTATTTCAATAATTTTTACTATCTCTTCTGTATCTTTATCTATCTGTGTAATTTGTTGATTTATCTCCTCTATTCTTTCCTCTACTCCTTATGAATTTTTCTCTATTGTCTGCATTTTTTGTTCCTTTTTCATTATCATTTGCTGGAGATTTCCTGATCTCACAGCTGTATCATGCATCAGTTCCATCATCTCTATGGTTCCCTGTCATAACTTCCTGGATATCTTGAAGCATTAATAGTATTTCTTTTTGGGATGTATTTGTTCTTCCTTGTTGTAACATTTTGCTTTATTTTAGTGAGCTAAAAGTTATTCAGCAATCTATCCAGGTCCCAGTGTCCAAAGTGTCCAAAAACAATATTAGAAGAATTTGCTCAATCCCTGAACTGTTCCATAAAATTTATAATATTTGTAATCCTCAAAATATGCCGTTTTTCTCCCTCTGAATTATTCAAATTTGTAGGTCTTGTTTAGTTTTTCTTCTTTTGCCTCATAAAACATTCTATCAAATAGTATTTGTAATCCAGAATGGCCCACCAAATCTCATTAATTCACAAAATCAGGTGATCGATTTGAAGGATAATGCCTATTATTTATAATCCACACTTCTTTGAGAAATTTCAAAAGGCTCACCAGTTACTCCTAAACTGCCAGAAAACAAGTAGATAGAAAAGAAAAAACAAAAATATGACCTTCCAGATGTTGTTTGTCTTTCATTTTATTTCTCTTCTTATCAATCCTGACTTTCTTTTCTTTTTTTATCAGCCTTGAGGTTTTTTTTCAAGGCCCTTTCCAGCCATATAATAATATGATGTCTTCTTTGGCCAGTAGATGGCGTTCCAACTTTAAATTCCAGTACCAAAATGAGGCAAAAGCTTTAACAGCTGCTCAACAAAAGAAAAGAAAAAAACAATTTTTTTCCAGCAGTCAAACAATATTTCCAGCAAATTAAAATAACTTTTCACAGCACCACAAATGCCGTCATTTAATCTAATAATCTAATTAATCATTAATGTTATCAATATAAATGATCAATAAAATTTTCAATCACCCACTCACCTGGATTAAGTATTTTCTTATACAACAGCCTGTGGAGTCCTGGGGTTATAGTCTTATCCAGAACTGCATGATTGCTATCGCTAAGCAATGTGGTCACATGACCCTAGGCTTTATGACTAAGCCTTACTTAATAATGGAAATTCTGGTCCCAATTGCCATTGTAACCTAAGTAGTATCTGTAGTAATAACACCGAAGTTTTTATACCTTTGATTTATGAGGGAAAGGTAAAAAAGATAATCTTTTGATAAATAATATTCTGATTTTTCTATATTTCAGATCAGTAGCTGAAGCCACTGAAGTAGATCTCAATATGAGAGTTGGTTTGCACACTGGAAGGGTTCTTTGTGGCGTTCTGGGTCTTCGAAAATGGCAGTATGATGTTTGGTCAAATGATGTGACTCTTGCTAATGTAATGGAAGCTGGAGGGTTGCCTGGGTAAGTCACAATATGCTTGCCAGTTATTTATTTATGAAGCACATTCTTTTTTTAAAAAAAAAACTTCACAGGGGAACACTCAAAGAGGCATCTTTGTAGAAAACCTTGTTTTATATTTATTCCAAACTCTTAGAATGGCACATTTAACAAAGTGGTTATAGAAATCAGCATTTATTTTAACTTTATCATACCATATGTAACAGTGCCATCCAAATCTTAATTCGTGACCTTCTAAATCAAGTAATCTCTTATTCTGAAAGTTCACCTATTCTTTTAGCCAGACTAGACCAAACAACAAGCATCAAAATACAGTTTCAAATCTGGTAAACCCAAACCTCCTCTTTCCTTAACATCTTATAGTAGTTTATATCTGAGTCTTGGGTTTTTTTTCCCCTTGTCATATAAGCTTAGAAATATCTGTGTGCCATTGTTTAATGGAGTATCAGTTGCAAGTATTGGTAACGTCTGAAACAAAAAAAGCATCTTTGGTAAGAAATTCATCTCAATTACAGAAATTCTACCCAATAATGATAAATGCAGTTTATCCCATCTAAATAAGTTCTTTTTAATATCATTCCAGAGGGGCATATAATTATTTTGAAATAGTTTGTCTTTTGACCCCCAAATATTTCACTTTTTTCTCAACTCTAAAACCAGACTTTTTAGTCAACATATCACAATCTTGTGGGATCAGATTCTTAAAAAGCATTGTTATTTCCTTTTTGTTTATTTTAAAACCTGCTAAAACCCCAAATTCATTTAATTTCCTCATCAAATATTCTATATTATTTTTGGAGCCTTGCAAGATTATAACCAAATCATCAGCAGATTCCCTCAGTTTATAAACTTCCTTCTTGATACCTGTTATTTTCTCATCTTGCCTGATATCTCTGTTCAAAGTTTCCAACCCCAAAATAAACAACAAAGGAGACAAGGGACATCCTTTTCTTTTACCCTTTTGAATTTCACATGAATTAGTTAAATCACCATTGACAATAATTTTTACTTGCTGTGACATATAAACTGTCATATAAAGCATCCTAAACAATCATTAAATTTGTCTCCCTATACCTAGATTATTATCAAAATATTCATTAAATTTCTTTTTATAGTCCTTTGCAATTGTCTCCTTTTGCAAAAGAGATTCATTTAATCCCCATCTGTAATTCAAACTCTTTTTTTCTAAATGCCAAAAGAACTAAATTGTGATCAGAGAAAAGATTAAAATGTTATTTGCAAGGTTTTTAGAAGTGCTTATCATATCAATCCTTAAACAAGATTTATATCTTTCTGAAAAAAGTATATTCTCTAGCAGAGCCATTTCTTTGCCTCCACAAATCTATTAATGCTAAATTGTCCATCATCTCAAAAAAGGCTTTGGTAATTTACCCTGGGAGAATTTAATCCCTTTCATAGATGTTCTATCCAAAACTGGGGAACTCACTCCATTCCAATTCCCCAGCATAATCCAATTTTCATATGAAAAGGGCAGTACTTGATCCATAAGATATTTGAAAATTTTACTTTTATCATCATTTTGGCACATAAAGTCCAACTACTATTGATTTTATTAAGTTCAATTTCCATTACTACAAACTACCATATTCATCTAATAAAAGTAACTTAGGTTTAAATTGGGGTTTTATATATAAAACAACTCCAGTGATCTTCTTTAAATCAGCAGATATAGTTTGGATTTAACGTGGCAATCCAAAACATGGTTGTTGTTCTTACAAAACGAATTAAGACATCCCTTGGTAACTTTCTCATTGTAGCAAATCTGGAGTTTACTGTATATTCTTTGTCTATTTCCAGGTCAAGAATATTTTCTTCCCAATTAATTAATTGAGCCAAAGCTTTAATTATCCTTAATCTAATATAATCTCCAGACAGTTCAGGAATTGCTAGAAATGTTAATTGAAGTTCTTTAAGGTGAGATTCCAAAAAAGACCTTTCATCCAAATCAGCTTCATACAAAACATCTTTCTTCTCCAGTTTGTGCTCCATAAGATTCACTCTTATGGATCTTATAAACACTTCACCTGTTTGATATCTCTAGCCAAATGTTGTCTCTCCTCATGGAGTTTCTTTGAAAGTGTATCAAGTTTGGATTCATGTTTTTTTGCTGTATATTCATCCAAAAAGGGCCTTAAAGATTCTGTATCTCCTGATGTTCTTTCCATTTTCTCCATTCTCTTACACATAAGCGTTCTGTCAGACTGTAGCTAAAGCTTAGATTTTAAAGTTAAGAATTTTAGACTTTAGATTTAGAATCTAGATTTAGATTTAGACTTTAGATTTAGAATTTAGACTAATTTATAACATTAAATCCAATGTGTTAAAATGATGCTACTGGATAATTAAAAAGGATTAGCAATACTACAACCTTTTGTTTGGCTCCCTCATAGGGCCAAACAACACCACTGTAATATGAGCTACAAAAAAAGAACTTAGTCTATGCCTCTTTGTTTAACAACCCACACAGCTGGTCCAATCAGAAGTGAGTAAAATTGGAAACTGTTTCTCCCCCTCCTTACAGCAAGATCAAATCACAATTTTTTTTAATCTAAAGTAACCTTTTTTTTTTCAATAGTAAATAGGTAAACAAATGACATTTATGACCTTGTAGCTCTAAATCTTATTTTGATTTAAGGGTGGGTTCACTTTGAATGAAGGATATTATTTCACCATAAACTCATAAATTAAGATTCACTGCCATTTCCTTCCTAAAGAAGTCCTCTTTGGATGACAAAGAGCTATTTTAGAAAAAAAAATATTTGTATTTATTCCAAACTATATATATGGCACGCCTCACAAAGTGATTCTTGAAATCTGCGTTCATTTTAACTTTATCATTTTTATTGTACAAATTTAAATAGAAATTATATAATAAAATTTTAATAGAGTCATCATCTATCAATACTGTCTTGCCTTCTTGGATTTTACCAGACATCATCTTTTCTGTTTCTTTTCTTAATCTATATGCAAACCATTTTCCTGATTTATTTGCAAACTCAAAATATCTTTTTTTCTCATGGTTACATTTTATTTCCACTTCCTGAAAATTTAAAATAGACAGTTGTTGGCAAAGTAATTTAATTTAATATGAAATTTTGGAGTAAATCAAATCTTTCTTTTTAAGTTCATATTTTGCATCTTTTCTTGAGTTTTTTTCCCTAAATGATTGTATTAGATGAAATAGCCACTCATAACAGCTTTGTGCCTCCTCAAATAGTCATCAAATGTGTGCCTTTCCTCAAATTATTATTAAAATATTCAGTTTCTCTCTGTTGTGTTTTAAAATCTTCTTCTGATTCTCATTCAATCTCCTTCTGAGCTATGATATTGGTCTTGTAAACGTCAGAAAAACTGGATTATGACCCAAAAAATGTTTAGGCAAAACATTCACTTTTGAGACTTTATCAGCAAAGTTTTAGGAAGTCCACATCATATCTATTATGGAAAATGATTCATACATGTAACTTTATTGTGGTCAATAACCAGCAGAAAGAAAGAAGAAAAGAAAATAATTTTCAAATATCCAGAATATCCAAAAATAAATACATAGAAAAATTCCTTAACCACGTTATTCTTATTAGTTCAAACTAACCTAAAATATAGAATTATAGAGCCCCCTGATAAATCTGAGGAAGATACTGCACAGTAGCTGACATTAAAAATGACCAATGACCAATGGTGAGGCAAAGCCATTTCCTACACAGACAAGTTCAGTTGCTCTTATTATTCTTTATTGAATTTTGTATGCCACCATATGGAATCTGGCAATGTTATATGTTATTTCAGAATTAATATTAGAAAGCAAGAAATATTTTTACTTCTGGTCATTATATCTTGTTTTACTAGTTAGTAGTTGGGCAACTAGAATATTTTGGAATTCTGTTTAAAACTGGTAGTACAAAAGAACATGTTCAATAGTTTCTACTTGTCCTGAGTCACAAGGGCACACTGGTAAAGGGTATGGTACAGTGGTGAAATTCATTTTTTTTTACTACCGGTTCTGTGGGCGTGGCTTGGTGGGTGTGATGTGGCTTGGTGGGCATGGCTTGGTGGGTGTGGCAGGGGAAGGATACTGCAAAATCCCCATTCCCTCCCTACTTCTGGGGGAAGGATATTGCAAAATCTCCATTCCCACCCCACTCTGGGACCAGCCAAAGGTGGTATTTGCCGGTTCTCTGAACTACTCAAAATTTCCGCTACCAGTTCTCCAGAACCTGTCAGAACCTGCTGGATTTCATCCCTCGTATGGTATCTTTTTATTTATTTATTTATTTATTTATTTATTTATTTATTTATTTATTTATTTATTTATTAAATTTTTATACCGCCCTTCTCCCGAAGGACTCAGGGCTGTGAACAGCCAAGATTAAAATACATACAATATGAAAATTAAAATAATTTAAAACATGATTAAATTAATTTGGCTTCCCCAATTTAAAACCCCTTACCCATAAAATTAACCGGTTAAAACTTTTAAGCCAGCCCGGTTTGCTGAAATAGAAAAGTCTTCAGGGCCCGGCGGAAAGTACGGAGGTCCGGGATCAGTCGTATCCCTGGGAGTAGCTCATTCCAGAGGGCAGGTGCCCCCACAGAGAAGGCTCTCCCCCTGGGGGCCCCCAGTTGACATTGCTTGACCGATGGCACCCTGAGGAGACCCTCTCTGTGGGAGCATATTGGCTGGTGGGAGGTTATCAGTGGCAGAAGGTGATCTTATAGATACCTGGGCCCTAAGCCATGGAGTGCTTTAAAGGTGAGAACCAATACCTTGAAGCGCACCCGGAAGACCACCGGGAGCCAGTGAAGCTCACGCAGGAGAGGTGTTATATGGGAGCACCATGTCACCCCCACAATCACCCACGCGGACACATTCTGGACCAGTTGGAGCCTCCGTGTGCTCCTCAAGGGGAGCCCCATGTAGAGAGCATTACAGTAGTCCAGGCAAGAAGTGACGAGGGCATGAGTGACTGTATTTAACGAGTCCTGATCCAGAAAGGGACGCAACTGGCGAATCAGGCGAACCTGATAAAAAGCCCCCCTGGCCATGGCTGTCATATGCTCTTCTAAAGACAGCCGTGCATCCAGGAGGACACCCAAGTTACGAGCCCTCTCTGTGGGGGCCAATGACTCACCCCCAATAGCCAGCGATGGCAGCAGCTGGCTATATCGGGATGCCGGCAACCACAGCCACTTGGTCTTGGAAAGGTTGAGTCGGAGCCTGTTCCTCCCCATCCAGACCCGCATGGCCTCCAGGCACGGGACATCACTTCAAGGGCATCATTGGGGTTGTCTGGGGTGGAGATGTACATCTGAGTGTCATCAGTGTACAGATGGCACCGCACCCCAAAACCACAGATGATCTCACCCAGCGGCTTCACATAAATGTTGAACAGGAGAGGCAAGAGGACCGACTCTTGCAGCACCCCATAAACAAGGAGCCTTGAGGTTGATCTCTGCCCCTCTGCCAACACAGACTTCGACCGGTCGGAGAGATAGGAGGAGAACCACTGTAACATGGTGTCTCCCACTCCCAACCCCTCCAGCCGGCGCAGCATGATACCATGGTCGATGGTATCAAAAGCTGCTGAGAGGTCTAATAGGACCAGAACAGGGGAGCAACCCCTGTCCCGAGCCCTCCAGAGATCATCAACCAATGCGACCAATGCCGTTTCCGTGCTGTACCTAGGCCTGAAGCCGGACTGAAATGGATCTAGATAGACAATTTCATCCAGGTACTGCGGGAGTTGTCGCGCCACCACATTCTCAACAACTTTTGCCACAAAGCGAAGGTTGGAGACTGGACGGTAGTTTGCCAAAACAGCCGGGTCCAGAGAGGACTTCTTGAGGAGGGGCCTCACCACCACCTCTTTCAAGGTGGGAGGCAGAAAACCCTCACTCAAAGAAGCATTTATAATCCTCTGGAGCCTGCCTCGTGTAACCTCCCGGGTAGCCAGCACCAGCCAGGAGGGACACGGGTCCAATAAACATGTGGTAGCATTCAACTTCCCCAGCATCCTATCCACATCCTCAGGAGTCACAGGGTCAAACCCATCCCAGATAACATTCTCAAGACCCGCCTCAGACATCCCGCCTGAACCTACCCAGTCAGAGTCCAAGCCTTCCCAAATTTGAGCGATTTTATTGTGCAGATACTGCGCAAAATCCTCAGCTCGCTCTTGCAAGGGGTCTTCCTGCGCTCCCAGGTGAAGAAGCTGTATCGTAGCTCAGAGATAATAGTTAAGTGGGGAACAGTCCTAGGAGAAGGAGCTTGTTATAAACGACTTGTTTCCACCCATTTTGAAACTTATCTTCTAATACCAGAGGCACTAAACCTGGAGGGACAAATATCAGTTTCACCAAGTAGAATAGCATGGCTTAGCAAATTCTGGTTTCCATTCTCATCATTCCATCCTCCATGTGTAATGAGGCATTAGAGACACACTGTGGAATTTGAAAAATTACTTTCAGGAATTTATACTGGACAAGTTCTAATGGTATGAAAGTGGTCCAAGTTGTGCACCATATAATAATTGGGCTAGAACAGGGGTCCCCAACACCACAGACCATGATACAGTACCAGGCTGCTTGGAACCAGTCTCAGAAATGGTTGGCGAGTGCATGCATACACACAGTTCCATTTGTTCAAGCAACAGACATGCATGCCCGCCACTTGCACAAATGGAGCTGCATGCCCACACTCACTCACACGGAACAATGCCCTCTCCCCACTCTACCAGTCCGCAATGCCGGAAAGATTGGGGAACATTGAGCTAGAGACTTAGCCTTGGAAAGTTTGATGGCTGCAAGTATGTAGTGACTTCCACTGGCATAATACAATCTTAAGAAAGCTGCTCCAATCCTAAGTGCATTTTGTGAAGCATAGTTTACATGATCCCTTTTATGTCCATTAGCCTGAAAGACTACTCCCAGATATGAGAAGCATTTCGAATGAAGGTGAATATAGGTATCCTAGGATAATGTTGCAGGATTCAATCTGTGTTGGTCACTGAGATCAGAGGTTTGTCTTCCACGTTTTCTGACTTGTGCTGAAGCCCAGCTTCAGGGAAGAAGGTGAGACTGGGCAGCACAAGCAAACAACAGCCAACAACTTAATAGCCAGCCATCAACATCTAAAAAGCCACATATAACAGGCACCATATAAATACTACATACAGAACAGCATACACCCTGTTAGACAAAAGTCCCCTGAAGATGGACTCCAGCATGAGTATGAAAGCTTGGAAGACAAAACCTTTGGCTCCGGTGACCAACCCAGATTGTATCCTGCATGAGAAGCATTGGACTTGCTTGATGGAATGATTGTTAATAATCCAGGTATGCTTTTTAGGGCAATTTGTAAATGCCATTATTAGTTTTATAGTTGATTTCCAAGTGGTTCTTTTTACAATAATATATGAAAGTATTTAGAGTTCTCGAATCGAATGCGTATCCTTGAGAGAATTGCTGCACCATCTGCATATATAATATGCTTCTCTGCTATTTTGGGTGGATTTCTGTAAAAAGGTATAGTCTCTTGCTAATTATTTTGAAGCTAAATTGTCCATCAACTCAAAAAAAGTCTTGGAGTAGTTTATCTTGTGAAAGTTTTATCCCTTTATTTGATGTTCTGTCAAATCAGCAAAGTTACTCCATACCATTTATCTACACCAATTTTCATGATATTAATTCAGCCATAAAATGTTCAAAAAAATTTGATTTGTCTTCAATTGTTACATAAATTCCTACTACCATTATCTTTATCCCATTTGGTCCACTTTTATTGCTACAAAACTACCATATTGATGTCGTATTACAAGCTTAAGTTTAAGATGAAGTTTTACATATAAAACAACTTCATTTCTCTTGTTTAGTCCCATTGAGATAAATTCCTCTCCTAATATTTTATTAACCAAATATTTTCTGTCTTTTATTTTAATGTGCACTTCTTATAGGCAAAGTATGTCCAGATTTAATTTCCTCAAATAATGAAATACTTTTTTCCTGCTTTGAGGGCTATTGGATCCATTAATATTTCATTTTATTTATTTATTATATATATATATATATATATATATATATAATATGTATGTATGTATGTATGTATGTATGTATGTATGTATATATGTATATATGTATATATGTATATATGTATATATGTATGTATGTATGTATGTATGTGTATATGTGTATGTATATATATATATATATATATATATGCGATATTTTTGCAATCAGGGTTTTTCCTATGTTGAAAGATGTTAAAATGGCCATGGTGGGATGAAATCTCTATTCATTACTTTCAGACCTGGTCTGAAAGTGATGAATAGAGATTTCATCCCACCATGGCCATTTTAACATCTTTCAACATAGGAAAAAACCCTGATTGCAAAATATCGCACATTTATACCTATGAATCAAAATATATATATATATATTCCCAACTCTAGGGGACAGTGCTTATTTCCGTTTCAAAGCTGAAGAGCCAGTGCTGTCTGAAGACACTCTGTGGTCATGTGGCTGGCATAACCAAATGACAAAGACACATGGAATTTTTACTTTCCCACCAAAGGTGGCTCCTATTTTTCTACTTGCATTTTTTACATGCTTTTGAACTGCTAGGTTGGCAGAACCTTGAAAAAGTAAAGAGCTCACCCCGTTATGCGGCACTTGGGATTTGAACAACTGAACTGCCAACCTTTCCATCAACAAGCTCAGCGTATATATATTCCATTTTTTATTTTATTTTAAAAGAATGAGGACTCCAAATTGTGTGCAGTTCTCCTTCCCTAACATTTTGTTTTCCAGAGTCTACTAATTGGTTTTGATTTTGGTGTGGATCAAATTTATTTTCCATTGCCTTCACTTCTTGTGTTTGATCTACACTCAGTTTGTGTTTGAGAAGAAAATCTTTTAGGATAAAATGGAAGGGTTGATCTTCATGTACCAAGAAAAAGATTCAGACTGAATTCTATAAAAAAAGCTAATGGATCGTAGTATTAAACAACTATTCTTTATTTATACTTAGGAAAGTGCATGTAACAAAGACTACATTAGAGTGCCTAAATGGTGACTATGAGGTGGAACCCGGATATGGCTATGAAAGGAACAGTTTCTTAAAGAAGCATAATATTGAAACCTTTTTCATTGTGCCATCTCATCGGAGAAAGGTTTGCACTTGATTTTTATTAATTATGTATTAGATTTTTAAATTGACACATACTTAGATAATATTATGAAATAATAAACAGATGATAAACTGATTGAATTGGAAATTTTGTATTGAAATGCTATGTTCAAGAATGGAAAGTTTCTCTGATTTTACTATTCAACATTTTTCCACAAAGAAAAAGTTTTTACAAGGAAATTGTACAAAATGCGATTTATTTTACATATTTTTATGGATAAGAACAACATGGGTTATGCTTTTTGTTTTATAAGTAATCCTCAACTTACAACATTAATTTAATGACAGTTCAAAGTCAAAATGGCGTTGAAAAAAGTGATCAATGACTGTTTTTCATACTTATGACCATTGCAGTGTCCCCGTGGTCATGTGATCAAAATGTAGATGTTTGGCAATTGGCATGTATTTATGACAGTTGTGGTGTTCTGGGGACGTCTAATCATCTTTTACAACTTCCGACAAGCAAAGTCACATCTAGATTCACTTAACCTCCATATTACTAACTTAACAATTGCAGTGATTCATTTAGCAACTGTAGCAAGAAAGGTCATAAAATGAAGCAAAATTCATTTGATAGCTGTCTTGCATAGCAACAGAAATTTTTGGCTCAATTGTGGTCAAAAATTGAGGACTATCTGTACTCCTATTCATTGTGTCCTTAAAATATTAAATTTACATTCCTAATTGTATTCCTAAAGTTTGTATTATGTATATATTTTTCTGTCTTATCCTGCCTTTTTAAAACGCTTGATTTTAAGAATTAAAAATTCTAAAAAAGAAGAGAAAGCATCAATTTTGGCATATGGTAACTGAGTACAAAGAGGTTCCTAATAATTGAATTGTTAGTATCTAGTAGAAGTGTCTATGTGTTACAGTTGGCAGATAATTGTATAGATCATGGAAACAGGTTGCAAATGAATGCCATTTATGTAATGTATAACATAAGTTTAGATCCAGTGTTAGAATGTTAGTGAAAGTGTTCTCTATGAATGACTGCATTTCAGGCTACTAAATATATCCTGAAAAGAAGATTGCTGGTCAACAGAGGAAATTACCAGGGCTGGATTGATTATAATGTTGAAGATGGAGTTTCTTAAAAGAAACAATAACAACAACAAGGGCTAGATCTCAACCTAAGACTTTTAAAATGTAGGAATCCAGAGGAAATAAAGAAACAAACCTCCCTTTTATTTTATATTTCTATATATATCATGAATTTTTTACAGGGAATTCATGCAAAGACTAATATGGTTTGCTCACTGGCTTTCAACCTATTGCATTACATAAATTTAATGTGGCATGCAAATTCAGTAGAGTTTTGGTTTATTTCTGATAAAAATGAAATATTTTTTTGCTATCTGGAACATTTTAAATTTTCTATTTTATAGGTGACTCTATTTTAAATTCTGTATCCCTGTGTTTTATTGGTCTGAAACTATAAATAAATTATTGATTTATGGTATATTTTATTTACATTATTTTAATAAATTATCATTTCTGTTGGTAGTTCTCAGCTACTTGGTAAACTTTAGGAAGACTGCCTATATAATTATGTGTGTACATTATGCCTTGCAAACAAAAAATACGGTAGACTTCACAATAAAATAAATAAAAGTGCTTGATATAATTCCAGACAGATAGTTTCCATTATTCTTTTTTCTACCTCCATATAGTTTCTAGAAAGAAAGAATATGAAACAATGGTAAAACTGGATTCTTCTATTGGATTCCTGGCAATTGCACTATAAAAACCAAGAACCAAGAGTTCTTTTCTTTATTTAATGAAACAATTGTTTTCAGATTCATACCTATGGATATTTGAGAAGGTGGTATTAACTTCCCTCTAGAGGATGTCCTTTCATATGTAGACTCTATTGTGCAGCATGATTATATAGTGCTTTTTTGGGGGGAAACTGTTCTGCAGGAAGAAAAAGTTAAACTTTATGACAGAAAAGAGCTTGCTTGTTTTTTTTTTTCTTTCTTAAATTTATTTGCTACCAATCTCACCAAGGAATTACTCTAGGAGATTTACAACAGGAAAAAATGGAGAAATGAAAAGAAGTGTAAACACATCAAATTAATGAAACAATAAAGATAAATAACAAAATAAATGATGAAAGTATAGTAATCTGGAATTAAATATTGGATGGGGGAAGCAAGGGGCAGAAAGAGATAGCCATACTGCTATCAATCTAGTAGCCACCTCCAATGTGGTACTCCCCCACTGAAATATCCAGTAACTAAATAATAATGATAAACATAAATAGAGAATTACACTACACTGGCAAATATTTTATATTTTTATCAACTTTATCAGTTATCAACAGATAGAATTATAATGAAGAAAAGATCTAAATTAACTTTCCCTTCAACCTGTAATTTTAGCTTAAAAGCTTAAAATTGATCTTGGCTCAATTACTCTCTGATAATAGGGACTAGTAAGGCAAAATTGGGAAGCCATTAGGAAGGGAAATAGGAGAGACAGGTAAATCTAAGGCATGAACCCATTCCTCATAGAAAATTCTCCTCTTTAAAAATTTAGTTCTTTTTTTTTCCCTACCATGTTTCCCTGAAAATAAGACCTTGTCTTGTATTTTTTTTTTTGAACCCTGAAATAAGCTCTTGGTCTTATTGTCATGCGCTCAAAAGCCTGATTGGGCTTATTATCAGGGGATGTCTTATTTTGGGGGAAACAGGATATTAGGCCAATACTATCTGAAATATTGAAAAAGTATTTGGAAAAAAAATATAGAGATCAATAAAAGTTCTGGTGGTTAAATAAATACTGGTATTGTTGTGATAGATGAGAGACAGAGAGAAAGAAATTATTATTGCAGTATTAGAAATGAATAGCAAATTCCTTTAAAGAACAAATGTGATTTAGCCCATTTTGTTTAAACTGCCTAGATAAAATAAATCCATATAAATTTGGAACTCAGATAAATAATCTTATAAAAGTTTGTATCTATTTATTGTATTTATTGATTGTACATAAGTAAAATTATATATACTGACTGTACTTGTACTTTTATTGGATTGTGAGGAATCCATCGTCTCATCTTTGCATAAAAATAAACAGCAGCTCCCCTCTTATTGTGTCAGTAATTGATCTATCAAAGTGACAGATGTTCCTGTACAGCTTGGCTAACAGCATTAGATCTCTAGTATGCATCAGTGGAGTGTCTGCCAAGTTGGCAGGAAAAACGCTTCACTGATATATCAACTGACTTTTCCCTTGGGCCTGTAGATCAGTCACAGTGTCACTTGCTGGTGCATTCTAACTTATCTAAGCTTTTCATGCCTGTTGTGCACTTACATATGGATTATTAAATCATCACAATTTCCCAAAGAAATGTGTTTGTATAGTACTGTCCTATCTCCTTTGGGCATTGACTGAGGTGGGAATTCTAAAAACCAAAGGAGCATTCTCATGAGTGACTGTGGGCTTTGGGTAGGGGTATTAGAGAAAATTGAATTGTTCTATTTATCTTAGTCCAGATGCTGTAGTCTTGGTTTGTATATTAACATTTTGTGTTACTTTATTCTTACATGACTTCCCCACAAGCATCCAAAAGCTGAGATATATTTTTCTAATATGAAACTTTTCTATATTCGCTGTGCATCATTCTTTTTGATGAAGTAAGATTTTCTTCAGCAAGACACAAGAAGGAATAACTCACTGTTAACAGATGATAAAAAACGTTTTATTCAAAAGTAAAATAATTATTTTGGACTTAAAAAATAAAAATGTCTAGAAATGTGAACTGACAATATATCCCACCATCATTTTATCAAACTTATTAAGAGTTAATACAATAGTACTTGAAAATTTTTCATTTACAGTTATACTTTTACATAAAGATAAAATCTAAAATATTCAAAACTTTTAAACATTTTATTAACTTGTCATCCTCCAAATTCTAAAGAGGCAGCACATCTTGTTTTGTAGGAAACCTTAGCAATTGCAAGAGGGTTTTTTATGAGATGGACATCAAATCATCATTCTGTTCATTTAAAAAAATATTCTTGGCAGGAACCAATGTAAGACAGAACCTAACCTATGCATTTCAGAGCAATCAGGATTAATTGTATCTAGTTTAATGTAATAGGTACTTTAGCATCTTCTTCATTAAATCTAAAGTAGGAACAAAATATACCAGCACATTCTGAAAATGAAGAAATGACAGCTTAAATCCCAATCTAAGGTTATATCTACAGTGAAGTATTCAGAGTATAAATACTAGGCAAAGAGAAATAACTTGCCATTTCTCACCATTGTAACATTAAACATCATGTACCCATTATGACTGGATTGTATTCTAAACTGCTGTCTTTATGTTGGCTACCAAAAGATACAGATGGTGTAAAGTTGTTCTTTTAAAAACATAGAGAATAAGATAATGTTGGGGCATATTTATTTATCTGGACATTTAAATTCCATTTTCCTATGATTGAAATAAATGAAGGTTGCTTATAGCAAATATATGCTTCAAAACAAATCAGCAATAAATGTAAAATAGCATCATGCAACAGGTTAATAAGAATCATATCAACAGCAGTTAGCTAAAAATGTCTTGAACCCTATTATTGAATCAGCAATTTATAGACTGGGCAATCAATCTAGGGAGGTTAGAGCAAAGATCAAAGATGTGACTTACTAAAATAATCAAGCCTATAGATTACTATCCTCTTCTCCTCTTTAATGTGGAGACAAAGGACAAAAGCCTGAAAACAATATCAAGAGGTTATGAGCAGCTTGGCATGAAAACCAAGACATATGAACACATGTGGTGTTTTCATCTGTACTTCCAATAAAAGGTTAATGTCCAAAGAGGGAACAGAGAATTTTAGAAGTAAATCACTGGTTTAAGAGATGGTGCCAATCCCAAGTATAAATCCAAAGACAACTAAACAATGAGGTAGGGAGTGGTGAAAAGGAATACAATTAAAAAAAAAAAGATATAGGAATCAAATGTAGGCTCAC